TTTGAGAAGGGGGGGGAGAGGCGGGGGGGGGGGGGGGGGGGGGGGGGATTCCAAATTAAAAAAAAAAAAAAAGGGAGTTGTGCCATTTTGACCGTGTTGTGTGTTCCCAGCGGGTGCAGTTCCCGTCGCATCCTATAAAACCAAAAAAAAAAAAAAAAAAAAAAAAAAAACGAACCACAGGGGCATGGGTACCGTCTTCCCCCGAATACAACGTGTTTCAGTATAGCTGTATTTGGGGTACCTTACAGTCTAAATACAGCAATAATGACCGTAAGTTGTATTCCGGTGAAGACGGTAAGGTACCCCAATTACAGTATTTGGGGTACCTTACGGTCTTTATTGCTGTAAGGTACCCCAAACTGCTATTGGGAAGAAGGGGTGAAGACGTCAGCATCCAGCTCCGCGGTTACGCAGTGATTTGGTGTCTGCCGTGCTGGCCAGAGAGGTGGTGGTGTGTGTGTGTGACTGGTAATACCAGGCAGCGGAGAAATCCGTGCTGCGGTGGGGCGAAGTACTCCTCAAGGGCCTGCCTTCACTGTCACCCCTCTCCCCCTTCATAGCTGCTTGCCAATGGGCGAGTGTTCTCCTTCCAAGTGAGAGGTTGTGTTCGATTCGGGTCCTAAGACTGATGTTCTGTCTATCATCATCATCCGAGTCATCATCATCATCATCATCATCACCATCGCCATCATCATCATCATCATCATCACCATCATCATCTGGGATCCACTTCAGCAGGAAGAAGAAGAAGAAGAAGATCCACTTCAAAAAAGAAGAAAGAAGAAGAAGAAGAAGAAGAAGAAGAAGAAGAAGAAGAAGAAGAAGAAGAAGAAGATCCACTTCAGCAGGAAAAGAAGAAGAAGAAGAAGAAGAAGAAGCAATGGGCTTGCTCTTATAATAATCATCATAACAACAACAATAAGAATAATAAGAAGAAGAAGAAAAAGAAGAAGAAGAAAAGGAGAGACAAGCAGGTCCCGCTAATGGAGTTATGAACACAGTAAGTCCATAGATAGAGGAGGTCGCCACAGCACTCACCAAAATTTAATGTGAAAAAGATAAAATCGTGGCAGGCGTACCTTTCCAAGTTTTTGCGGATGATACGTTGTCATCTTGCACATCTCCGTGTCGTCATTTTTCTGCGACTCGCGCGTAGTTTTTCCCCTCGAATCTATCGACGACTGATCGATCGATCGATCGAT